AAGAAGAGGGGATGTTTTAGAACAGACTCCTAAAGTAAATTTAAAAAAAAAAAAAGAAGTAAAGTAAAAGGAGAAAGGGAAAGGTAGAAAATTCATAATGGAATTCAAAGTTCACAAGACAGGAAGTGGAGACTAGATAGAGAAGTTACTCATATCCAGAAAACATATTTACCCCTCTTCTTTTGGGTCCCACAGAGGAGAAACAGCTAGAGTAGAAATAAGGAACAGCTCTTAAAATCTTTGAGAGAAAAAGGAGCAAAGAGTTATTTGTAAAGATTCCGAGAAACCTGTTACAAAAGGCAGTGAGAAGACTTCATTAAAATCTTTGAACAGTCTGCAGACAGGAGAGCTGGGTGAGTTTGGTGATAGAACTTGGGTTTATTGGGGCTTTGTAATGAATTCTAAATGTTCTAGGAACATAGAACGGTTAGCATAAAGACCATTTGATTAGCACTGTTAGAAAGATTTGTGTCTAATTATTATTTTTTAATTCTTGCTCTTGAGATTTTTTTCCTTTACACTCACCTCTGGATGTTTAACCTGTTAGACTGTTTGTAGAAGTTGAGGTTTCACTAAAGGCTTGTTTGATGTGCTGGGCATTTGACCCATTACAATTTCCCTTCTATCTGGCAGCAAATGCAAAAAAGAAGTCCAAACTATTCCAAAAAATGCAGATTAATCCATATTTCAAATTAAGTATGACCCCTGCAACTAGAACATAGAGATGTTATATTAGTGACATGTGAAAATTATTTTTAAAGCATCTCTATATTTTAATAGAGAAAATTATGAATTTATTTCTCTGAAGTATCAAAATCCCTTCCTAAATGGTTAGCTGAAACATTTCTCTACAAAAAAAAATGTGTGGAACTCATTTCTTTCTTTTCTTTTCTTTTTCTTCTCTCTCTCTCTTTTTTTTTGCCTGAAATATTGAAGTCATTAAGGTAAAAATAAATTACTTGGATCAGTAATTCTCAATCCTCTATGCTCATTAGAATTCCCTGGGGAGCATTAAAAATTAGAGATCTTAGGGCCCTTCCTCTAACAAACTCAAACAGGGAGTAGGACCACAATATCATTCTTTTTATGAAAACTCCCGAGGTGACTTTAATTCCTAGCCAAGGTTAGAACACTGATACACATAATTCAAGGACAAAAAAATAAAAATTAAATAAATAAATCTCCCTGTTTTAATTCGAGGCATTACAATTATTGCTTCAATGTCATTTATTTTAAAACCACTGTGTTGCCTCTTATTTTAAATACAAACATTTTAAAAATGTAGTTGAGCTCTTTTAACAGTTCATTCATAATCTACTTCTGAGGTCCCAGCTTTCTACAATCCTGTTTCAACCTTATGGAACTCAAAACATTTGAACACTCCCTATTCCTCCATGATTTTCTTATGGTTTTATTTTTATCCTGTCTGAACCTCCTTCTCTATGGCAAAATGCCATTATAAAACTTTAAATTCCAGTTTAAAGTCACTGACTCTGTGACACTGGACTCATCATAATAGAATTATTAAATAATGCTAATTTGTTTGAGTTCATATCATTTGCATATTTTTCTGAGTAGACAGAATCATATTATCAAGCTGTTGGCATGCAGTTAACCATACCTTTCCCTAAACTCTGTGTATCATTCCTACTTTCTGCTTGGTTATTTTGCTATATAATCCCAGAAAGATGATTTAATTTAGATTTTTAAATTTTTTCATGTAGATTTGAGTTATATTCTGAACAGTGGCAAATTCCATGTCTTTTATTTCAGCCCCTTGAATAATTTTAAGGAAGATCAACCAATATGTATATATTTTTTCTCCGTTTAAAATGAAACTATGCAGACTCCAAACAAATTACAAGTATAAAATATTAGGACATTCATTGCCTTTTGAAATGTTGAATTTTCTTATTTAGTTATAGTGTGTGTTTTAAATAGGAAATAAGTGGATAGAATTTCTTTTTCTCTTTATTCTTTTGGCATTGACGCCACAGGAAACCAGCTTGCTAACTCCCTGACACCTGATATTTCCCTGACTAAAGAGTCTCAGATGAGGGTCAGCATTTTTCCTAAGACAAGAGTCGTGAATTCTCTCCATCTGAAAGATACATAAGTTCCTTGAATGGGTCCGGAATAATTTCTGCAAAAAGGCTTCAGTCATATGAGCATTTATTAATGCTATTAGAACGGCTGGGGGAATAAATTCATCATTTCTGCTACGGGGTGGGGGGGGTGACACCCTAAAATAGAACAAGAACTTGAACAGCGACAAGATGCTGGTGGGAAGTAAATTAGCTTTTATACAAAAATTTATAAAAAAAAAAAAGAAATCTAAGCCTTGGTTCTCTAGCTTAAAAATCCCCATTTCTCACTGCTGGAAATTTGCGAAACATACAGCTGGTAGAGAAGCATTTGTGCTAATATGCTGAATTTATATTTTTTAAAGTTAGGAAGGTGATTAAGTCTGTCATGAGTGTATAGTTACACAGACAGCAAATTACATTTAGTCACTAAACAAGTTATTTTCCTAGGGCAATTTCAAGATCCCTTCAGGTAGGAAACATTTCTGTAATTGAGAAACTACTCAACTTTTAGGCAAGTGCCCAGAACGTACAGGTTTCTGTACGACGAGCACTATTCTTTCCCCCTCAAGTCTTTACTGAGACTGACCCCCGGAGTCTCTAGCAAACTTCATCTCGGCTGAGCCGAGGGCCATACCCCGCTGGGTGCGGACTGCAGGCCTACCACTGGAGGGCGTCTGGACGCTTTCAAACGGCTCCAAAACGCCTGGAAATCCCGAGCTCGAGAATTGGAATGCGCAGGAAGAATGCACTACTTGATTTCATTGGGTTAATAACCAAAGGGGAGAACAGGCAGGTTTGGGAGCAAAACTAAACAGCTTTCTTTCTGGGAATCAGCTTTTCCCACGGAGACAGCAAACCTCGCTACAGCGCGCGAGAGAATACTACTACGCAGGCCTGCGGAGCCCCGCGAGGGCGAGTCTCGAGGGTTTGTAGCCCCGCAGCGTCGCGCGCCTGGCAGGTTTCCCACTCGTTTGGACAACAGGGGAACGCGTCCTGAGGCGCCGGCGTCTCAGAGCAGTCAGGCGATCGCGTTTTGGTGGCGGCTTGGGGTCCAGGCCCTGCAACCTGCTGTAGAATAGGAACAAAAAGGCCTTTTCCAATAATTAAGGGACTTCTTCCCCATTCTCCCTTTCTTCCCGCACCTGGTTCATTCAATGCATTTATCTTACGGGGAATGGGCAGCGAAGCGAACCCGGGGTTTAAATGGAAAAGGTGCAAGATATTTCTCATGAGCTCCCCTGCCACATTAATTCTCCCCCCCTGCTGAAGGTTCTCACTGAAGTGTAATCACTTTACTCTGTGATTTTCTCGATTAAAATGTTTGTAGAGCACCACTTTAAAGAAAAGTCTTGCTTCCAGCTCGTGAACCTTTAAATTCCAGGTAGAAGAGGGGAGTTGAAAGGTGGATGAGAGAAGCTTAGGTTTCCTTATAACCCAGAGCCAAACGAAGAACAGCGCAGAGATTTACAACAACGTATTTATTGAGATTCCCTGCCAGCCTGTCTGCTGGGACTTCATATCATCTGGGGGCCCAGGAGACAGATTTCAGTTCTCCTGCTTCAGGATGGAAACTGGTTCTTTTGTAATCGACTCTACTCTCTGGTAAAAGAAAAGTCGAACCATTTTCCTCAGCCCAGATGATGTTCAGCATCCAAAGGGTTACGCGCGACTGCCGGGCACCGGAGGAGGAGGAGGAGGAGAGGGCGCCTCGGCACTCCCAGTAATTCAATTAGTCAGGTTTCTGGAAGGTGGGGCCCAGGAGAGGGGTAGGAGGAGTGGGGAAAGGAGGAGGTTCGCAAAACGCCTCTTTCTCCTGGAGCAAACCAATAGGGTTGGAGTAAAGAGAGAGGAAAAACCCCGGTCCGTAAGCAAACAGCAGGCCGTTCCCTGACTGGCTGCTCCAGCCACCCCCACCCCTTCCCAAGTAAACTGCAAGAGGGAGGAAAAAAAAAAAAAAAGCAGCCCACATGACCCGGGCCGCGGCGGCAGCAGCGCGGGCTGGGCGCGGGCTGGCGGCGCCTCCCCCTGCACGGTCCGGAGCTCACACCAGTGCTCGCGCCACCCGCCTGCCCCGCGCCCTGCGCTACACGCCCGGGAGCCCCCATCGCGCTGCACCGCCCACGTCCACGTTCACGCGCGCGGCCTCGCGCTCCCGTGTGGCTAACGCCGCTGGGTCGCTGCTGCTGTCGGCTTTACACGCAGGTCATTAACGAGGGGGCGTGCCCGAGGAGATTTTTCCCATAAAGCATTTTTCTTTTTTTTTTTTTTCCTTCTCTTTTGCAAAACTGACTTTTACCCCTTTCCACTTCTCGCCAGTCGTTTCTATCCTTCCCGGGCTGCTCGTGCTGCTGCTGCACTCAAGTTTATTTTCCCGCCTGGTAGGTGTTTTAGGATTCGGCTGGTGGTCTTCACCTCTTGTTGCTGCTGTGTCCAAAGAGAGAAAGAGGAGCAGCTGCGGGAGGATCGGGAAGGTTTTCTGATGTAGCCATCCAAGAGGTGCCGTTCGCTCGTGCGCGTTCTCTCTGCCTCTCGCTCTCTCTCTCTCTTTTTCCTGTTTTCCCATTTCAAACTGATTGATGCATCTCTACAAGTTGCCGGGCTCCGGGTTGGACCCTTCCGAGGCGCAGGGACACTTCTGAGCGCTTACCCTAGGCTCTCGGCTTCGCGTCTGGGGGCTGAGTCTTGCTCCCGGAAGGCGACCGGAGATTTGACATCAGCCCATTCAGGAGTTGGAGGGATTCACTGGAAAGTGGTTGTTTCCCCTCCCGCTTTCCAGCCGAACAGTTGGGTTGACGTCGTCCTGCAGGTTTGGGCATCCCAGCTCCTCCTGGTTGGCTGGTTCGTAACCTCTGCTCTTCATTTCCTCTGGTGCACCCACACCCGGCCAAGAAAAGCACGCGCGAAAATCCCCGAGGCTCAGCCAGCGCCCGGGGTGTCGTCTCCCACCGCTGCCGCCGCCGCAGCCCGATTCCGCCGGGCAGACCTGCCGGAAGAAGCGACGAGCCAAACTTTTCTTTGAGGATTGCCGGGCGAGACCGCTCCTCGCCAGCGTAGCTGCTGCTTCACCAGCTCCCGGACGCCAGCGGGGCTGGGTTTGTGGCTTCGGATTCCCACCCTCGGCGTAGCGCCGCGAACCCGCAGCACGCAAGACTCCTTCGAGATTCCCAGGGTTCTCCCGGTTAAGGCGCTGAGGAGGCGGGAGCGGGGCTTGTCAGACTCCGTGGCCACGAGCGCGCAGACCCCCTTCCACGCAAAGCCCTCTTCCTGCAGTTTTCCTCCGGCTGCCAAAGTAACTTGGAGCGAAGCGGGGCGCAGTGCGAGGGCCCCGGGCGGCGGCGGAGCCGTGTGCAACCCGCGGCGCCGACGCTGAGCCAGGCCCGGCGGGCCAGTGTATGTCTCCCCGCGACCGCGGCGCGCAACTCCCGGTGACTGTGCAGCGTGCGCCGCCGCCCGCCCCAACCCGCGCTGCCGCCGCCCGGCCCGGCGCGCACCTCCTTCTCCCGGGGTGACCGGCCAGCCGCCGCCCGAGACACAGCTTGGCACCCCTTCCCCCGCCCTCGCCGCCGCCAGCCACACACGCACGCTTCTCTCCATCTTGTGATTCCTTTTTTTCTCCAGAACCCTCCAGTGGGGGTGCGAGTTTGTCTTTACCCCCCCGCCCCAACACACACACCGCCTTCTTTTCTTCTTTCTCCTCCCCCTCCCCAGCTTGGTGTGCGCCCCTTTCTTTTCTTGCTCCTCTTCATTTTTATTTATTCATATTTATTTGGCTCTCGCTCTCTCACGCGCTTCCTCCTCTTCCCGTCCTCCCTCCCCCCGGATTCCTGTTTTCTCCCCGGAGTGGCGCGTTGGGGGCTCCTCCGCTGGCCAGGCGTGATGTTGCACGTGGAGATGTTGACGCTGGTGTTTCTGGTGCTCTGGATGTGCGTGTTCAGCCAGGACCCGGGCTCCAAGGCCGTCGCCGACCGCTACGCCGTCTACTGGAACAGCAGCAACCCCAGGTAAGGCAGTGGGGGGCGGGAGCCAGGCTACTCCGGCCTCGGGGCCCTGCGGAAGGAGCGGCGGCGGCTGGCGCGCACCCCCGGTGCTGGCGTTGCCCGAGCGCAGATAACTTCGAAGTGCTCGCTGAGGCGCTCCCGTCGCGCCCTCTTTGTTAAGCGGCGGCGGAGAGGCTGGGCGCCCCTGGGAGTCCCGGGGCTGCTCTTCAGCGAGCTGCAGGGAGGTTCGGAAAAGGCGCGAGCCGGCGAGTCAGGACTTCGCCACCCCGCCCGGGCTGGCTGCCCGCATCCCGATGCGGGCACCGGGCTTGGGCACCGCGAGCTGTGGGTGCGCGCGGTTAGGAGCTCCCGCCTAGAGCGTGGTGTGCGGGGACAGCGGGAGACGCCGCCAGGCATCCCCAAAGTTTCCCCCCCGCCCTTCTCCTATCTTGCCTCCCCTTTTCTCCGTGCGCTCTGAGAACGCGCTGGCCGGGGGAAGTGGGGAGGGTGGGGGTGGAGGGGCTGCTGGGAAGCGGAAGCTTTAGATCTTTATTTTCTTCGGGAACTGCGCGAAAATCAGCGGCCCCGGAGTCGATCTGGGCCGGGCACGGTTGGTAGTGGAGAGAATTCCCCCACCTCCGCCGCCACCCTCAGGTGGGCTCAAGGTGCCAGAAAGTTTGATCTAATGCCGGGTTACGTCATTTGTGCGGATCGAGGTGCTGGAGTTAGCCGAGCCAGGAGGTGGGAGATTTTCGTCCCCGGGTTGGCCCTGGTACAGCTGGAGTAACACGCGCGATTACCTGGAACGGTTCGGCGGGCGTCCCCCGAAACCTACAGGGTCCGCCGGAGGCAAGCTGTGGTGGGCTCCCGGGGCTGCCCTCACCCGCCTGTTGGACCCTGCCTTCAGCAGACGTTACTAATTCACCAACATCGACGTGGGGTGTGGTGGGGTTTACTAAGATTTTCTGGTGGACCCCCTTGGAATCGGTGCTACTCTGAGCCCTACTTTCTTACGGGCAGTAGCCGGCTCCGTTGGGCAATTTACTCTGCTTCTCTGGGACCGAGGCCAGTTTCCAGCTGTGTGTTGCTCTCGGCCCCCGCCTACGAGCGAAATAGCATCGATTATACCTAAAATTCCAGGGTTTTCCCAGGGCTGCAATGTAAGTTGTAAGGACAGAGGCGGGAGACTATGGGGAGAGTTAGTGGTTGCTTCCCGCCTAATGTTTCTGGGAAAGGGGACCCTGGAAAGCCTTCAATTCTAACTACCTCGGGGTGGCCCTCTCCCGCCGGCCTCTGGCCTCCCCTTGTTCTGTAGGCTTGGGAGGGATTCCCTACTAGAAGTATGTCAACTCAGATGAAGAAGGATAGATTTCTGCGACAAGCAGTCCACCGCCTGCAGAGTAGTAAGAGAATTCCTCCAGCCCTGCCAACCTAAGAAAGACAGTCACACCCAGGTAGTCCAAGTCCTTCCTCCTTGTGTGCCAGCAGAGTGGAGATATTCCTGAAAGTTTGGTTTACAGAAAAAAGTCTAGTGGAGGTGGGTGTTGGGATGGGAAGCTATTTCTTACTTTGACATGCCACTTACCACTATTAGGAAAAGAGAAAGAGAAGCCATCCTGCCAGAGGAGATGCCTTTTTATTAAAGCTGACAAGACAAATAGAGCAAGCTTTCTAGTTGTGATGGTGTTAAAAGCCAGCCTCATTAGGTTGGGTGGTTTTATTCCCCTTTGGGCTTTATTAGTCAGCAATATGAAACAGGAATGTGTATTTCAGAACTTCGGCTCCTTATTAAATAAAACAACGGTGAAATTGATTAGTTGAATTTGGGATATTCTACTCTTGGTTGTTTTTGTTTCCCACTCCAAACTTCACAGTGTCATCTTTTCCTCCTGGTATTCATTTATTTGGATAGTTGGGTGTTCCCGTCATCCTGGTTAAAATAGGAAGAATCAAGCAACACCCCACTCTACCCCTCCCTCTTAACCTATCAAGCTAGTCTGAGTTAGTTTGAGGACATTTTATCTTAGGTTATCTCTGTTTTATGCTTTTGATACTGTTGTTTGGTTTGAGATTAGCACATTGATTTTTGTCACAGGTCATGTTTTTTAATAGATCTGCCCTGCCTGCAGAAAACTCTTCTGCTAAGGATGCCATGGTGGCTTTGAACCTGTCCACACAGTTAATCTGTAGAATTTTAAAATACCAAGAGTATTCTCAGGTCAGTATTTTAATTTAAGGTTTGTGGGAATACTTCTCTATTTGATCATTATCAGATTGATAATGTTCAAAAGAAAGAATGACCCACCCTCCACAAGAATTGCAGCCTGATATTTAGTATTCTTAGTGATTATGAATACACTTATCTTTCTGTGTTATCACAGTAAAACTTATTTTAGAAAATAATATAATTTAAAACATAGGTGTTGGTAGGCAGATTTATCTCTGAAATGTTGAATAAGGTGGTGCTTTTTGATTTAGTAGAACAAATCAGTTTGGAGGTAACACGTAAAAGGAACCAAATGCAAAATAAATAATGTAGAAGAAACACTAATCATTTGTCACCAAAAGTAGTACAGAAGTACTTAAGAAAATTTTCGGGGGTTCCTAAATTTTATAGTCGATGTTTTACATTTTTTTTTTCATATGTCATTGTTTTGTTAAAGTAAGCTAGGATTACCTTTAATTTTACATAGGCCCTGGTATAGTAATAATGAACAGAAGACTTAAATATTTTTTTGAAAAAAAGTGGAAAACTTTAATTGCAACTTAGTTATAAAGTATTTTTCCCTGAAGAAAAGTTCAGTGAACACAAAGCTGATGATAATGGATACGGTGACAAAGTGAAATCACAGTATTTAGCTTATAATAATGGACTTCCATTTACAGTAGTGTTTCGATAAAAATAGAATTAACCATTATATCTTGGCCACAGAGTTTAAATGTCTTATTGTATAACTTGTGTAGTTACAGGAGTTTTCTGTCTACCTTGGGTTTCAATACTGGCCTCATAGACACCACCTAGAAATTTAAGTTCACAGAGAAAAAAATTTAAGCTTATTTGCTGTCAGAAAGTTTTGTTGTTATACACTGTCTTTCCAGGTATTCACTTTTGATAAATGCTGATGACTTTTTTAGTGGCTAGTGTTATTGGGCAGTGGGCCATACTGATTTTCTGTGTTAAATCTCTGAAATAGCAACTAATCTCTGAAATAGCAACTAAGAACTATCAGTCTAAATAGAAATATAGGATAGTGTTTGGGCAAATGAATCTTCCACATTTAAAAATTTTGAAAAGTTAAATGATTTCACCTAAATAGATTAATAGAATGATCCTTTTCCTTTTATGCTAAATTCTGAACTGGTGTTTTACTTAGTAACTTTTCCTTAATCTTTAAGTAATATTATAAAACACCTGCAGTGACAAAACTTTATTAACCTTCTCCCTTAGTGACATTTATAAAGATAGAGATGCCTTAATATTAAGATCATTCTCTTAAATTTGAAGCATGCTACCGTTTAGTATTTCCAATGAGAATATTCTTTTAAATACTGCATATATATCGAAAAGTTCTTGGATCCTTTTGGCCAGTTGTCAAAATAATACGAGGATAACTAAACAATTCTCTTGATAGTTGCAATTAATAGATAGTATAGTAAAATAATAAAGGGGTAAATGTAATCTTTCAGAATACTGATTCTCCTGACTTGGTATTTTGCTTCTGTTAATGTTTGAGTATCACCAATTTAAAAGGTATTCTCTAAAGGGAAACAAAAAATCTCTACAGTTCATCTGGGATTTTCTAAAATTTCAGCTAATCTTGTGTTTTCTTTGGATTTTTTCAATTCTTGCAGGGACTTGTAAATTAAACATTTCACCTTAGTGTAACAAGTAATTGACACCACTTAGTTTTGTTAACATGTAATCTTGGAGTTGTGAAAGTGATTTGAGTTCTAAGTCAGCACTCCCAAATCCTTCTGACAATGTAGGTTGCATGTATGTGGTTAACTATCTGTCAAGAGATGTAGCAACTTTTTTTTTCTTATAACCCCTTTAGTACTTTTTCTCTTTTCAAAATTCAGCTGTTTCACTTTTAACATCATAGGTGTCTTCAGATATATGGTAATATGCTAGCATTTTGTTTTGAGGTAAGGCAGACAAAGCTGATTTTGGTTTTGAATGAATTTTATCACCAAGCTTGTAAAGGAGTAAGTTTATTTTAAAAATTCAGAATATTTTAAATAATATTTTTCTGTGTTCGGAACATAAAATTTCTGGAGGTATTAAAATATTTTAACTTATTTAACCCTTAGCTTCAATGTGTGGTATCACTTTTAGATGTTTTGAATTAATTTTATTATTTTGATACTTAGGCCACAATTTATGTAGACCCTCAGATAAAAATAATGCAGTGGGATGGAGATTTATGTACCATGTTTTTAGCCTCTTATTTCTAGAAGAGACTTGAAATAAATCCTCTGCCATTCTCCTTTTTTAATCTAGATTTTTATAAAACGTGTGTCTTTTGGTTGGGTAACTCTCCCATACGTTGTTTAAAAGCAAAGTTACTAAGGTGTTCTGCTCCATCCATTTTATGTATTATGTTATCTGATAATAACAAGTAAACAGAAATAGCCAGCTAACTTATTTTAGGGTGGTTGGAATACCACGCTATTAGGCGCACATTTAGCTAAAGTCTAATTTAGCATTTTCAGTATGAGAGGAAGGTCAATAAACTACTTCTGATTAAAAGAATCAGGGACAACCTTCAGGAGTTCATTACTCCTGGTTGATTGATTTTAGTGGTATTAAGTAAACCATTGAACACATATGTTGCCATATGTGTTCTGACTGATGAGCAATAGCTTTAAAGGCTTCCACCTCTGAAGGCTGAGGAATAGGTTTGAAACAGCACTTAGTTATTGGGGTGGAGTGGTAAATTAACCTTGTGAATTTCTAGCCTTTTAAGCTTATAAGATGCCCTTAGAATAGTCATCTCACTGCATTCTGTCCACTGGCCTGATTT